TATGCCGAACCATCGTTTGCCGAAGAGAGTACTGTTTTCCATGCCCAATTCGGAGTGGCGTAAACAGAGAGGTGGCCAACCCTTGACCTGACAGACGAGTATGAAGGAGGTCACGAAACACTTGGGTACTGCCGGTGCTACTCGCCTTCCAGGATGGGGACCGCGTGATCCTCACTGTGCCTGGCTGGGGACACTACAAGATATGGCTGCCAACCGATATCAGTGGCGTTCTTCTTGTCAGTTTCTATCCAGATTACCTGTGTGAATGTCTGGAGGTGTAGGCGCTTGGGAATGACTGTGGTAAGCTAGCACTAAGTCCCCTACCCGTCCACATTTACTCATTTTCTTCAGAATAAGGCTTTCAAATAAGTAGTGGTTTTGGGGGCAGTGAAGCATCAGTGTTGAACACTGATGTCATGCTGTCGATAATTGTGATGAGGATGATGAAGACTGACCCCGGTAGAGGGTGGATCAAGCGTGAAAAGGAAGTTAATCAGCATTTTAATCGGTCTTCGTCAAACAAGTAGGTAACAAAAAAGTGATGAGCGGCATCTAACACAGTCCTGTGCAACTACGAGCACGCGGTTATCTGTAAAACAAAGAGGCGAGCAGAAAGGAAATGAATGAAACGGGCACCAGCGTTTTTGATGTGGCTGAGAGGTGTACCCAACAACGGGAGATGTAAGCAGCCTGGATTTCGACAAACTCAACAAAACTAGCAAACAGGATGGGAGGATTCTAATTGTATTGTTCTGTTTTTTCGCCGACGTTTGACCTTAAAATGGAATGTACAGTAGCTTGACGGAGAAAGAAATGTCCAGCGGACTAGAACTTAAATGCAGCCGTACTCTGGCATGCTGAAGGTGTCTTGAACATCAGTGAAGAGGGATTGGCTAGATGTCTTTGTGAATCTCCCAAAGAGCATGTTGCACGCACAACGCTGATTTACCGTGGACAGTAGATAATCCACCCGGTGAACAAATTACCCAAACTTTATAGACAAAAAGTGATATGCAATTGAGTGTACGTATAGAAGAATCCCATAAAGACGCGGTCTCCCACGGTGACAGATCATTTCGGGGGAGATGTTCCTCCATGAATGGCCGACCTGAGCACGCCTGAGGCTTTATTGTGTTCGTCAGAACTATTGTTGGTGACTTTAGATCAACATCCTTAAGCGACCCGATGAGTTAAACAGGGTTTGAGAATTCAGTTCACTTCTAGCTCGTCAGGCGAAGCACTTTCATCGAATTCTCCATTCAGTCTCTGGTCTATTTTCGTAACAATGATGTCGCAATGTGGAAATTGTCGGGAATAGCGGAATAGAACCAAAACCTCGATTAATTGTCTCTCTCTAAAAATGACTATCATCCCAGTTTCAGTTTCCGGCAACGGTCACAGTTGCAACACTACTTGTCGAAAAATAAGCCTCATTCAGCTTCATCCGCGAAAAACTACTTGCCCGTAGGCTAGTTGCATCAACATTCAAGAACTTGTTCCATTGTGTCGACAGACGGCAATAAGGTGAACTGAATAATACCCCGGACCGAGAGGCCGTTGGGGGGGTTGACATCAAATTAGAGGTCATTCATTGCACGAGGGAGGGGGTGGAGATTGTCCCTAATTAGGTAAAAACATGTGGTAAAAACATGTTGCTCATCCGGACAGACTGACCCGACTTTTGCTCGCATTATAGGCCATTGATATTTTGTGCCCAATAAGTGTGAGGTGAATTCATCATCAGGGGTGAAAATCGCAGACAGTCTAGGCGTCCCTAGAGATGAGAAGACTCGTTCAAATGAGGTTGGTCGCGTTTTACACGGATCCACCGAAGTACGGTTTAGCTTCCACTGGTTCCTGTTAAGTGTAAAGGCAGCGTAGGTGTCAAATATGGTCGGCTAAAACCAGATACACCAAGCGTCATCTTAAGCTTTATATTTCAAGCAGTGATGAGCAATCTATATCTGGAGAAGCATGTGAAAGCACGTGGCAAACAGGTCGGACAGAAAGAATGACCGAACGGTCAGTTCCAGCAATCATTTTTTCTATGTTAATACCCTTAAATTGTGACAACGCTTTGTAATTAACCGACCAGAGACCAAGTAATTATCCTCAAGGAACTTTCTACCCCAAGGTGCTTACGGTTCTTGACTGACATTTAAAACTCAGACGTAAGGTTGCTGAAAACACTCCGAAAGCCCACCATTGGTTTCGCTCTCCTTGAGGCTCATCAAGTAGGTATAGTCCGCAGGTTTCCGTCAACCTTATGTTCTACTTGAACCCAAATTGCACGAAATTAACGAAATACACTCATTTGCAAACAAATTTGGTTTTTCGGGAGACTCAGCTGGAATCCAGCTGAATCTCTCGCTTGTGATGTTTTTTAACTCCCCACAAAACCAAACTGGTTTGCAAATGAGTGTTTTTCGCTCAAAAATAACACCCTATGATATTCACTGAGCCCGTATTCCCCAAATTGTCCCCCGTTTAGCTACCTGGATTGACACAAAACACATTCTGAGTAAACGCAGCACGAACCAAAAGGTTCACTCAGGGTTGAATACGAACCGATGACCTCGTGTTTACCGAACAGATGCTTCGTTTCTTGAGCTGCTGAATATGCTCCCTCTTCGTTACACTTATGGACATATACCTCATACGTGATTCATCATATACGGGTTAATAACTGTTACGTATCAACGCAGTTGGTTGGGCTTAGCTCAAATATTTCAGACAACGAACTTCCGTGCTTCATTTCTGATCATCCACCAGCTTGTGATGAATGAACACACCAGTCAGGTTGAAGGACAGGGTGTGAGTTTCAGAGAAACGCTGGGTATCTGCCGCCTTTTTTGTAAAACTGTGCAAGCAGAGCATTTGATGAGGCAGTGTAACACATCTAACTGATAAAAAGCACCGAGTTAGTCCACATCAGTCACTCGGTTCTATTTATTGAATGCTATCGAGTCCTTTGAATGTCCTTCGTCACAACCGAGGTGTCCGTCACTAATCTACGTCAGCCAACCACCCTTTGTCAGTAATACTAAGTGGAAGCAACCGTAGGGACTTATAATCTCTGTCCTACGTGGCTACTCTATGCAGGCATTCTTATCTTCCAATAATTTCGTGGCTTTAATTACTTACTGGGATGTTACCGAAAGCAAAGCTTCATAACTAGTGAAGGAAAGCTGAAGAGGGCCAGTGATTCCTCTTCTCCAACCATGTTCGACAATATAACAGCAGAACTCAAGACGGTTTGTAGGGTTTGAAGGCGTTTGAAGGTGTATCTGATATAATACTACACTACTCGCAAGGCAGCTGAGAAATCTGCTGGGGCTCATCAAGTAAGTGTAGTTATCGAATTTCGATCAACCTTATATTCTACTTCAACGCCGAATTGTACGCAACTGAAGAAGTACACTCAATTACAAATTATCTAACTGTTAGAAAGGAGACTCAGAAAAATCTCTCGGCTACAGGGTTCTCCAGCCTAACGTGTTACACAAAGGGCACCTCATGTTTCTAGAACGATAATCGAGGTAGCGAAGTATAATTTCTTGACACAGAAAAAGTTCAGAATTAAATTGGTTTTAAGGATTAATCTCTGGTTTATGGTGTTGGTGAACGGTTGGTGGAACCTCGGGCACCAGGTCTACATGATTCGCTTTAGGGAGTATGAAATCAATGGCGGTGTCTCCAGGAGGTTTCAGAAGACTCCCAA